TAAGGAACATGGCTACACGTTCACAGGCTGTTTAAGAAGGGCAAGGGCTCTGTCAATTCAGACTGTAGCGAGAATTGTACCCCCGTTGTGGTTGAGTTAGAGACTGCTCTCGTGATCGCCGATGGTTGGGGAATTAATGAGGTGATTAAAAAAATACCAAAGGGAACTGACAAAGTTGGAGTTAGTGGAGTGGAGAGGGTTTGCTGGGGTTTTCACATTCCTTACATGGTATAGCCGCGGCCAGTGTTTATCATCCATCCCTAATTGCCCCTTGAATTGAGAGGCTCGCTTGGCCATTTCAAGGCAGTTAAGAGCCAACCACATCACTGTGGATCTGGAGTCACCGTGCAGGACCAGGCTAAGGGTGCCATATTTCCTTCTCTGTAGGTCATTAGTAGATGACTGGGTTCTTACAACCATCAACGATAGCTTCATGTTTTAGCTTTAATTGCGTTTAAACCCCCAACCCCAGAATGTTGTCCTGAGCTTCCATCTCGCCACAGTCTCCCTGTAAAAGCCCGATCACATGAAAAGGGAGAAGAGAACTGCTCAGGGAGAGGAGGAAGAGGTTCGGTGAATTTGTGTATTCGCACCTAGTCTCTTCCTTGCACCTACCTACTATTTAAGGGCCCCACAGGTCGATAGGTGGCAGCTAATGCCAATATTCAATGGATTGATGACTGCGTGGGGATATCTTACATCATTCACCGCTGATGCCAACTGAGTACCACTGCGGTGAAATCCTCGAGCTTCAGGGTCAGGTGCCAATGAAATGGGAAATGAAGGATTGATCGTTCAATGCCTTGATTTTGGACTGCCCTTAGTTCACAGTGCAAGGCAATGTAGCATTGTCTCCGTATACTGAGCTGGTTAATAAAAGCAAACATGCAGATTGCTGGTTTATAAATAGATGCGTGGAGTAACTTGTCAAGGCTATACCAGTCGATTTCCACATGTTTAAAGCATCATGGCATACCATGGGACAGTGCAGGCAGTTGATGTTAAAGTACAAGATCAGCCAAGGTCTCAGTGAAGGTCAGAATGGGTTAAAACAACAGAGTGGCCTACTTCTGCTCCTACTTTCTTATAAGCTTGTCAGTCATTTCTGAAAGGGAATTGGGGGAGTATTCTAATCTAAATCACCACAAGGGTCTAAAATTAAACCATCAACGAGAATCAAGGGGTCATATTGGCACAATGCGTTCGTATCCCAGGCACTTCTGGCCCTAAAAGCTCCAGAGTACGAACTCCAATCCAGGGCTCGAAAGGTGGCCAGACAGGCTGAGTGTTACCTGGAAAACGCTTCAAACACACACCCCCACCCACTTTCCATTGAGTAGGTGAGAGAGGCAGAGACATATCAAAAGGTGATGACAAATGCTTGGCAATCACAGGTCCCCAAGACTCTTTGAGGGCATCACACCCAGAAACAATTTGGAATTGGTGAAACGGGCACACCGTGACCCCCAAGACTTTACAAAACCTTGCACTAGTCTGGCGAACTCAAACAGTTGCACTAGAGACAACAATTCCAACAGCAGGGTGATGGAATTCACCCACAACAGGTCAATGAAGGTAGATGTATCTGGTAGATTTTAATCTTGATTGTCAGCAGCTTGATTCAATCTTCCGATCCGCAAAACAACTGAGTTAAAATTCTCCCAGCCGGGCTGCCTGAAACGGGAATTTGTAACCAGCGGGGAAGGTTATACAGACTCCCAGAAGAGACGGGCATGGATGGGCATCTTGACCATTACAAAGGGGTCCGATCCATCTCATCATAGAGAAGATGCTGCCACTTGTAGACAAACCCAGGGCTAAGGGGGCTGTCAGTGTCTCAAATATCCAAGCAAGCTCAGTGTTTGTTATTCGTTCCTAACTGCCCTTGAATCAAGTTGCTTGCTGAGCTATCTAAGGGGAAGTTCAAGAGTCAAATACATCATAGAATCATGCAGTATAGAAGAATCCCTTCGGCCCATCGAGTTTATACTGCTAAAAGTACACTACGACTAGACTCAGCACCTGGAATGTTATGATATTTCAAGTGCTCATCCATTTACTTTTCTTTTGAAACGGCTATGAGGCTACCTGCTTCAACCGCCCTCCCAGGCAGTGCGTCACTGGGGGATCTGGAGCCACGTGTAAGCCATATCATGGGGTGGCATGGTGGCTCAGTGGTTAGCACTGGTGCCTCACAGTACCAGGGACCTGGGTTCAACTCCAGCCTCAGGCAACTGTGTGGAGTTTTCACATTCACCCTGTGTCTACGTGGGTTTCCCACAGTACTCCGGTTTCCTCCCACAGTCCGAAGATGTGCAGGTTTAGTGGATTGGCTGTGCTAAATTGCCCCCATAGTGTCCAGGGATGTGCAGGATTAGGTGGGTTAGCCATGGGAAATGTGAGGTTATGGGTGGGATGTTGTTCACAGGGTCAGGGCAAAACAGATGGGCCAAATGGATGCTGTGTAAGAATTGTGGATTGACCTTCTCTGGCACAGCATTCACTTACAGGTTCACAGTCACCACTGAGACTGAAACTTAACCCCTCCCCCAGGAGTGTTTAATAGGGATGGTGTCAAGGGAACTTTGCTTTCCATTTAGTTTGAGTTCAAACAAGTGGTGGGACCCTTACTCTGTAATTTAAACCCTTGTTGTCCCTGTCACAGCAGTCTTTAATGGAGATGGTGTCGGGGGAACCTTACTTTCAGTTCTAAAGTCTCACAGAGTCATAGAGATGTACAGCATGGAAACAGACCCTTCGGTCCAACTCGTCAATGCTGATCAAATATCCTAAATAAATCTAGTCCCATTTGCCAGCATTTGGCCCATATCACTCTAAACCCTTCCTATTCATACACCCATCCAGATGGCTTTTAAATGTTGGCAGCTCATTCCTTTCCCCTTAGATCCCTTTTAAATCTTTCCCTTCTCACCTTAAACCTATGCCTTTTAACTTTGGACTCACCCCGCCCCCCCCCCCCCCCCCCCCAAGGATGTCTGTTTACCCTGTCCATACCCCTCATGATTTTATAAACCTCCATAAGGTCACCCCTCAGCCTCCGATGCTCCAGCAAAAATAGCCCCAGCCTATTCAGCCTCTCCCTCTACCTCAAACCCTCCAACCCTGGCAACATCCTTCTAAATTTTTTCTGAACCCTTTCAAGTTTCACAACATCCTTCCGAGAGCAGGGAAACCAGAATTGCATGCAATATTCCAATAGTGGCCTAACCAATGTCCTGTACAGCCGCAATATGACATTTCAACTCTAATACTCAATGCACTGACCAGTAAAGGCAAGTGTACCAAACACCTAGGGAATTTTACTTCCAGTTTACTATTAGGTCAAGGGATAGAGAGAACTTTACTACGTATTCATCCCTGTCCCAGTATTGTTAGTTTGAGGCAGCGTCAAGGCAACTTTACTATCTGTTCACTTTCTGTCTAAAAGAGTCGAGTGAGGTTTACTCGGTATTTAACCTTGTGCTGTCCCTGTCCCAGGAATGTTTGGTGGGGAACAGTGTGGAGGTACCTTTACCCTGTGTCTAACCCCGTGTTGTCCCTGTTCTGGGAGTGTTTGGTGGGTAACGATGCCGAGGGAGCTTCACTCTGCGTTCAAAAGAGTTGAGACAAAAACTCGCTTTCAATTTCAGATTGTAATCAACTGCATTGAAATCCTGGTGGGATTTGACCCCGCGTTCCCGAGAACATTACCGCAGCCCCCTCTGGATGACTGGCCCGGTGTCATTACCACTACCCAGACCCTGCTACCCTTTGGGGTAGCGCGGAACAGGTTCTTGAGTGGGGCACAGGTTGCATGACAAGCAGTTGTAGACCGACCTCCTGCGGTGGTTGCAAGCTGGTCTTGCGGAAAACCGGAGAGGGATTTCCACTGCGGTGGGAAGGCTGTGGTGAGGCCGAATGGCTGACTCAGCAATTTCCGAGATGTCCCGAGTGACATCGGGACAGTCCCCTCCAAGTTTTCGATCCAACCGGACTGATTCGAACAAGGTTTCAGACCTGGGTGAAATATGTTCATATTTCTGTATTTACACCTGTGTCTGTGTTACTTCCAGTCAACGCGTACATAGGTAACTTTGGTGAACCAGTAAAACGCAGACTGAATAGATGAATGTAAAAACAGCACATCAGAATTTGACATTCAAATAATGAAGAGAGTCTCGTGTTGTTACAGGTGGTGGGGTGCGGTGCGAATGTATTACCAGTGAGCTTTACATTGCAGTCGGGAGCTGGCCCCACCCCTTCATACACCCACCACCATCCCCTCCCTTCCCAACCAAAGTCTCTGACCCCTTTCACAGTACAGTCCAGCTCCCGCCCCTCAAAATTCCTGGGACGCCTGGTGCGGGAAAGGGGAGGGGGCGTATGTGGAGTGAGAGGTTTCTTGTTAACCACGCTCCTCCCCAACCCCGTCACAAAAAGTCTTGTTGATGGAACGTTGCTGAGACTGGCCAAAAGATGCGGAGCCAGTGAGTCTGACTCCCTCCCACCCCTTACACCCTGCTCCCCATCGCCCCTCCCATCCCCAGAGTCCAAAATCACAAGCCTCCCATCGCGTTGATGACTCCCAACGGGTTGACACTGGTGCCAAGTCGGTAGCGAGGCTCATAGAGTCCTACAGCACGGAAACAGGCCCTTAGGCCCAACTCGCCCATGCCGACCAGGTATCCCAAACTGAACTAGCCCCATTTGCCAGCATTTGGCACATATCATTGCAAACCGTTCCTATCCATGCACCCATCCAAATGTCTTTCAAATGTTGTAATTGTACCAGCCTCCACCACTTCCTGTGGCAGCACCACCCTCTGTGTGAAAAGATTGACCCCCTCAGGTCCTTTTTGAATCATTCCCCTCAGTCCACGATCGAAGCACTTGCTTCCCACCCTCCTCGTCGCCAGCGGCGGTGTTTGCCGGGGTAGGGGGCGGGTGGGATTTGATTTCCTGCCGGTCGGTGCTCCCTCGCGCTCTCTCTCACTGTCCATTCAGACGATGCTCTCCTCCAGCTCCTGGGAGCCGCCGAAGATTCCCTCCTCACCCCGTCCCACCGTGACACCGGTCTCGGCGTACCGCAGCAGCGTGCCGTGCACTGACCGACTCCTCCTAGTCCAGACGACGCTGAGGCGCTTGGCGTAGCCGCGCCGGGCGGTGGAGGACGAGGTGCCCAGGTCGAAGGAGCAGCTGCGGCTGGCTTTGGGCAAGGGGGCAGGGGGCCGGGGCGTTGTCGCAGACTCCATCTGGTGCCCCCTCACCCGCGCCCTGGGCTTGGGCTTCCTCCGCGGCGCTTTGGCCCTCTCCTGGACCCCGGGGTCCGCCAGTCGCGGAGCAGCGCCGTTGGTCTGGGAGTAGACGTCACTGACCTTGGGCAGGCGGCGCCCACCACAGCCCCTGAGCTTGAGCAGGGCAGCCACGCCAAAGACCAGCAGGGCGACCATGACAGCACCACCCACCGCCACACTCAGGGTGCCCCCCAGGAAGTGAGCCCTCAGCAGGCGGCAGTGAGGGTACTCCTCCTCCTTGGTGCCGAAGCGGGTGCAACCCAGCACCCGGGTGGCGGCCAACTGGGTCTCGGTGTCTCCGTAGATGGCCAGGACGCACAGGTCATACTCCGCTCCTGGCGCCAGGTTCTGGAGGGCGAAGGCCCGGCTGCTGGATGGCACAATCCTGGGAAGGCGAAAGGGAGAGAGGTCAGAGGTCACCGCGTTCAAAAACCTCCCTCGTTCCCCCATCCTTCACCCCCCTCACCCCCACTCCCACACCACGCAAGCTCAGAGACCACCGCAGCGACGAGACACATCAAATAGAAATGTGGAACGTGGGAGCAGGAGGGAGGAGGCCATTCGGCCCCTGTTCCATTGTTCAATATGATCATCCATCTCGTCCCCTGTCCCCACTCTTACCTCCACGCCCTTTGATCCACTTAGCCCCTAGTGCTGTACCTAACTCCATCTTGAACACATTGAGTAGAAACTGGGCAGCATGGCAGCTCAGTGGTTAGCACTGCTCCCTCACGGCACCAGGGACCCGGGTTCAATTCCACCTTCGGGCGACTGTGTGGAGTTTGCGCATCCTTCCCGTGGTAGAGATTGTGAAGCCCGATGTGTCTTCTTGCTGGGTGTGAGGAGGAGGAGGAAACTTTGGAAAAGTGGAAGGGGGGGTGCAGAACCTTAAGGTAGAGGTGCTGACTGGAAGTTGATCCGTTTGGAAGGGGAAGACAGGACGGACAGGAAGTGAAGGGGAATGGGACACTCAAGATGGTGGCGCTGAGATGCCACATGTGGGTCAGGATGGAGAGCAGGATCCTGGAGGTTGCGGCAGGAAAAGCTGAAGCTGCAGCCAGGGCCTGAGGGCTGCATAGAGTTTAACAGCGTGGAAAGAGGCCCTTCAGCCCATCACGTCCATGCCGATCACCAACCACCTATCCATTCTAATCCCATTTCCCGGCACTTGGCACGTAGCCTTGTATACTGTATCATTTCAGGTGCACACCTGAATATTTCTTCACTCTTGTACGAGGGTTCCTGCCTTTCCTACCCTTACAGGCCGTGAATTCCAGATCCCAACCAAACATCTTGTTCTCAAATCCCCTCTGAACCTCCAGCCCCTCACCTTATATCTATGGCCTTGGTCTGTGATCCCTCCATCAAGGAGGGAAGTTCCTTCGTATTTGCCCTATCTATGGCCCAATAGGGAATCAGTTAGCTCAGCTGACTGGACAGCTGGTCTCTGATGCCAACATCATGGGTTTAATTGCTGCTGTGGCTGAAGTTCCAGTGCAGATCCCACCTTTTTAATCTCTCCCCTCGCCGGAGGCATGGTGACTTTCAGGTTAAACCACCACCAGCCACTTCTCTCCCACTAAGGAGAGATTAGCCCTATGAAACTATGACAATGAACTTTATACACAGCAATAAAAAATGGAAAAACTCAGCAGATCTGGCAGCACCTATGGAGAGAAATCAGATTCTGTAGCTAATTCACATCCAGAATTGAACTGTTTGCCACCAGAGTTGGAGTCTGTTTCTGTTGATGTTAACAACTGCAAAAACTCAATTAGATTGTAACATTTCACACGTATATAGCAAAGATATTTTCTCATCTTAAGATGATTTCTCTTCACGGATGCTGCCAAACCTGCTGAGTTTTTCCAGCAATTTCTGTTTTTGTTTCTGATTTCCAGCATCCGCAGTTCTTTCAGTTAATGTTACAAACAGCTCTAGTTTGGCTCTCAAATTTTACCTCCACTACTGACGCTCAGCATTTACCATCGACAGGATGAGCAAGGCTCCTTCGATGACACCTTTCAAAACCCCCGACCTCTCCCTGGAAATATATCACCATTCCTTCACTATCACTGGGACAAAATCCTGGAACTCGCTCCCTAACAGTACTGCGAGTGCCCCCACACCTCAGGGGCTGCAGAGTTTCAAGAGGTAGGCTCACCACCACCTTCTCAAGGAGCAATTAGGAACATGAAATCGATGTTGGGCCCAGCCAGCGACGTCCACATTGCTATGAATGAATTTTCAAAAAAATCAGAGAGCACTTTTACACACAATTTGAAACTCCCTCCATCACTGTGAAGCACAATATTGCAAAACTCTACGCTGATGAATGTTTGCTGGGGGTTGGTGTCCAAAATTAGGGAACCGACATAGATAGATGAAGTTACGGTGCAAAGGAACCTTGATTTAATGTAATAACACAGTGTGGAGCTGGAGGAACACAGCAGACCAGACTGCATCAGAGGAGCAGGAAAGCTGATGAAAGCTGACCTGCTCCTATGATGCTGCCTGGCCTGCTGTGTTCCTCCAGCTCCACACTGTGTTATCACAGACTCCAGCATCGGCAGTTCTTACTATCCTTGATTTAATGTGCTGTTCTTAGTCCTCATCTAGTAAACACTTGTTGTGCTAGAAGTTGAAAGGTAAAACAACTTAGGGGGTGAATGGCCTCCCCTTATTCATAGGATCCCTACAGTGTGGAAACAGGCCCTTTGACCCAACAAGTCCACACCGACCCTTGGAGCATCCCACCCAGACCCATCCCCCTATAACCCACACATCCCTGAACACTACGGGCAATTTAGCGTGGCCAATCCACCTAGCCTGCACATCTTTGGACTGTGGGAGGAAACTGGAGCATCCGGAGGAAACCCATGCAGACATGGGGAGAATGTGCAAACTCCACACAGACAGTTGCCCGAGGGTGGAATCAAACCCGGGTCCCTGGCGCTGTGAGTCTGCAGTGCTAACCACTGAGCCACCATGCCGCCCCCATATTCTTTTGTGTTGAGGGTGCTATGCAATGGGTGCAATGTCATCACAATGACAACCTGTTCGGACTCATAGGAAGGATATTGTTAAACAAGAAAGGGTACAGAAAAAACTTTACAAAGATATTGCCGAGACTGGAGGGTTTAAGTTGTAAGGAGAGGCTGGAGAAGCAAGGACATTTTTTCCCCGGAACACCAGAGGCTGAGAGGTGATCTTGTAGAGGTTTATAAAATCACCAGGGGCATAGATAAGCTGAATAGCCAATGTCTTTTTTCTCCAGGGTAAAGAAGTCCAAACTAGAGGGCAGAGGTTCAAGGTGAGAGGGGAAGGATTTAAAAAGGGGCCTGAAGGGCAACTTTTTCGCACAGAGGGTGGTGCATGTATGGAATGAGCTGCCAGAGGAAGTGGTGGAGGCTGGTACAGTTATAACATTTAAAAGACATCTGGATGGGTACATGGATTGGAAGCGTTTAGAGGGATATAGGCCAAACATAGGCAAATGGGACTAGGTCAGTTTGGGATACCTGGTCGGCACAGATGGGTTGGACCGAAAGGTATGTTGCGGTACACTGTATGACTCTGAAACACCTCTGGATTAGATGGGCCTCTTGGCCCAGAGGCAGGGACATTAACTCTGCAAGCTCATTTGGCATATGCCATCCTAAGGGTGGGGGGGAGGTGCACATGAAATAGTGAAGAAGATGTTGCTGATTGGTCAGTTAGTCCACTACAGAGTCTTAGCGAGACTGGATCTGGAATATTGTGCGGAGTTTTGGTCTCCCTGCTGAAGGAGGGACACACTTGCTTTGGAAACAGTTCACAGAAGGTTCACTCGCCTATTTCCTGGGACAAAAGGGGTTTGCCTTTTGAGGAAAGCTTGGGACCAGATAGTCGCTGGAGCTTCAAGGAGGGAGGAGTGATCTTCCCTGTTTCAGTATTACCTTGAGGGGTCTCGGCAGGGTCAGTGGTGAAAGGATGTTTTCTCTCACAGTGGGCATAGTTTTGGAATTGGGGCTGTCCCTTTTGAGACTAAGATGAGGACGAATATCTTCTCTTAGAGGGCATTTCGCCTGTAGAATTCCCTTCCCCAGGAAGCGGTGGAGGCTGGATCATGGAATATACTCAGGGCCAAGTGAGACAAGGGAGGGAAGGGTTGATGGGTGGGTGGGGGGAGGGGGTGCTGTTGTGACTGGTGGAGTTTGGGTGAGTGGGCTTGAGGCTGCACTTAACGATTGTCCAACATTTTCTCGGATGGCAGAGCATGTATTCGGAACTGAATGGACTCCTCCTGCTCCCATTTCCTACGTCGCCGCTCTGTGGAAACTCATTTATCAAAGTGCACACTCAGAAAGACAGTTTTGCTCACAGTGTTTTTGCTGCTGACCCATCCACGTTGAGAGTTAAGGCCGAGAAAGGGGTCGCCAGCTACGTTGACGTCAAGTGAGAAATCTTACTACCGTTTCGGATCCTTTTGGCAGCCTTCACATCAAGCGACCTGTGCCCTGACCACCTCTCCAAGATCGCTGAGACACGTGCTCGCCTTTTATATAATCCACCACTTCTGGGATCTTGCTGTGCCTGAAGTGTAACAACGCGTAGAATGACGAGAATTGCTCCAGCGCACATTGAGGCCATTTGGCCCATTGTGTCCGCACCAATCTCTTCAAACGAGGAGTTCACTACAAAATCCGTCCTCTCATGGCTTCCTTCCCTTACCGTATTCCTCCTCCTTTTTAGATAATAGTCCCATTCCCCTTTTTCAACGCTATGACTGAACCTGCTTCTGCTGCGCTCTCATTCCCCTTCCAACCACTCACTGCACGGATAGGTTTCCCTATACTGTCACTTTTGTCTCCTCTAATTTCAGAAGTCGAGGCCGTCTTGTTGTCAATCCCCTCACAATGACCACAGCTGGGAAGATCACAACATGGGATGGGGTGGGAAGGTGCAGTTGCTTCTGAATGCATTTAGAATTGCAGGAACAGGGACAGGTGTTCCACCGTCAATCTAGGGGAGCACTCTGTGCAGCGGTAGGATCCCTTGACATGTAATCCGGAGGCCCAGTCTAATGTTCAGGTGACCCAGGTTCGAATCCCAACATGGATTGAGTATAGGAGTTGGGGGCATCATGTTGAGTTTGTACACGACATTGGTGAGATCTCTTCTGGAGTACTATGTCCAGTTCTGGTCGCCCTGTTACAGCAAGGATGTCATTAAACTGGAGAAGGCTCAGAAAAGATTCTGCTGGGAGTGGAGGGTTTCAGATATAAAAATTGGACTGGAAAGGCTGGGACTTTTTTTACTGCAGCGTAGGAGGTTGAGGGGTGACCTTATGGAGGTTTATAAAATCATGAGGGGTATGGATAAGGTGAATGACAAGCGTCTTTT